TAGGAGGGTGGTGAAGCACTGGAATGCGTTACCGAGGGAGGTGGTGGAATCTCCTTCCTTAGAGGTTTTTAAGGCCTGGCTTGACAAAACCCTGGCTGGGATGATTTAGTTGGGAATTGGTCCTGCTTTGAGCAGGGGGTTGGACTAAATGACCTCCTGAGGTCCCTTCCAACCCTGATATTCTATGATTCTATGATTCAGCTCATTGGTGTCTGTGTCTCACCAACTGGTCTTCTTCATCCCCAGACAAAGGTCGTTTAGTCCAGCCCCCCGGTGCTGAGGCAGGACCAGGTAAACCTAGACCATTCCTGATAGGTGTCTGGACTAGATGATCTCTTGAGACCTCTTCCAGCTCTACATTTCTATGAGTCTATCCTGTGCATCAGCCTCTTAGCATATTATTTGCACACATACCCCGAAGCCTCCTAAATCAAGTGTGTGCCAATAATTCATTTTTCCCTCCACTTCCACAAATGAATTTGTCAGCCGCTGAACAATTCACTAACCTAATCAGGTTCTCCTCAGGCCTCTGAGTAACTTAACTGTTTCCGCAAACCAGTTGTACAATTCCACAATCTACCTTCTGCCGTCATTCACATTGCATCCTCAGCCCACTCCCTTCACTGGCATCAGTCCATCCTAACATATGAATCCCATCAATCCATTCCCTCTCTCTAATCAATTAACATTCCACATGTTCAATCTATACATTTTCACCATCACCACCACAAACCTCAATCCTGGCACCTGTCCTCTAAATTTATTGTCACCCTTCCTAATCCCCGTAATGCAGCCCCTCCTGTAATGCCCCTAGGAACCCACAGAAGCACTTCATCCATTCTCTGTCCCCAAGGCATCTGAAATTTGAACTGAAGGAAACATTTTCAATTCAGCTTGTTTCTGTCTGAAAATCCAAATATTCCAAAACTGAAATATTTCACAAATACGTATTTTGTCAGAAAGTTTTGTGAGACCTAGAGTGAAATTTCTGGTAAAAACCAGAGTAGACCCAAACTCAGAATAGCTAACAGTGCAGGGGTGTGTGGTGTATGCTTTGCTGTGGTGTGAAAAATCCAATTTAAGTCCCTGTTCTGCCTAATGAAGAGCAAGGACTTGAATGTGGGTCACCCATTTACGAGGGAGATCTCCTCCCCCCCGCCACCCCCGGCTATGCAGTCAATCTCTTCTCTTAGAGCTGCACCACTTCGTAAAAATAATTAAATATTTCTGTTTGGGGAGGAAGAAAGGTAATAGATTTTGCTTTTCTCCTCTTCCAGGCACAAGAGCGGGAATCCTTGTCACTTCAATTCACCCTTGCTGACTCCTTTTATACTTGCAACATATCAATCCCCTTCCCCTAAGTAAAAGTTCCCACTCCTCACCAAAAGGATTTAGGGTTTGGATCATCTTCTTGCACAGCTGCATGGGCCAACTCCCAAGAGCCAAAATATTTTCAAAAATTCCTTTGTGTTCACTGACTTCTGCTTTCTCATTATCTGAAAAAGGGATATGTTGAGATTAGATAAACAGATAGACTTGTGGAAGCAGAGAAAGAACTGACAGGAAGGGGATTGCAATGCATGACAGTTCTTTCTCTGCTTCCACAACATATACAGCCTGGAGACGTTTTAGTCAGAAGGGGAATGTCATCATTCTAATTTATGTGACACTGTACAATGGAGGAAACTCAGAATTAGAAATATATCAAAAAATGTTTCTTTAGATAAGCTTGCTTTAGACATACTAGTCTGCTGTCTAAATTGCCATACACCAAGATGTACTGTCGTCATTCAATAAGCAATCCCAGCACATGTGCAAGTGGCCACTAGCTGGCTACCCGTACACCTCCCTCACCTTTTCTTCTTTTCTCTGCTCCCATGGCCACCTCACTCAGCTCACCAGTTGGTCTCCTCCATCTGCCAGCCCATAGAGGAAGGAAAGAGATCTCCCTTTTCCAGAGAATCCCAGAAATTTGGTTTGACTCGAGAACATCTTGTGATCAGCCTTTGTAAAGCGACAAACCATCTAGAATGCTGGATATTTGGGGTTTGCTAAATTGACAGCTGACAGTCAGCAATGTCAGTTAGAGATTTATTGTGTCTCCTGGATTTTTCCAGAATTATTTGCTGAGCTGGGGGAAAAAACAATATTCATAAAAGATCATTGAATGGAACCTGATTGGATGAAAGGTGTAACAGTTCCAGGGGGAGTTCCTTATTCAGATTCATGGAAGTGCTCCAAAGGTAGAGTTCAGGAGAAGCATGAAGAATGACATGGTATCAGTTTTCAAATATGTAAAACGTTGTTAAAAGGAGGAGGAAGAAAAATTGTTTTTCTTAACTTCTGAGGATAGGATAAAAAGCAATGGGCTTAAATTGCAGCCAGGGAGGTTTAGGTTGGACATTAGGAAAAAATTCCTAACTGTCAGGGTGGTTAAGCACTGGAATAACTTGCCTAGGGAGGTTGTGGAATCTTCATCATTGGAGATTTTTAAGAGCAGGTTAGACAAACACCTGTCAGGAATGGTCTAGAAAATATTTAGTCCTGCAACGAGTGCAGGATCCAGACTAGATGACCTCTCGAGGTCTCTTCCAGTTCTATGATTCTATGACCATACATCTTTAGAAGTAGAGGCAGAAGTTGACAGTGTCTCTGTCCCCACTGTTTCAGCTCTAAAAGCCATGTGACTTTAAATAAGAGTTATGCTTCCTGCTCTAGAGACTGGCCATTAACTGGGTGATGGACTCGAACAATGAAGACTTGAGATAGACAAGTCTGTTAGTATTCAAGGGCCAGATCCACAAAGGGAATTAGGTCCCTATGTCCCAGTTTTGGTGCTACTGTAGGCTACAAAACTCCAGCTTAGCTGCCACCTAAACTCAGTGCCTACATTTTCAGGGTAAAAGACCCCCTATGGGATGATATTTCTACCCCTGAGCATGCATACTGTTGCCTCTCTCACAAATTGATTCTTTTCCCATGTAGCCACTTTGCAATCTGCCTTCCCCAGCCAACAGATGTTCTGCATCGTTGCTTCTCTTACCATCTGGCCATCTGCTGTCCCTCCCATAGCAAGAAGCATGTCCATGTGGACATGGTGATGGACTCTTCTCTTCTCCTCTCCCAGGCCCAAGAGCAGAAACACTTGGGATCTCAACTCTCTCACTTGGACCCTTCATCACCTTCCTCCTCCTGATCTGCCAGTAAAAAACTCACTCAGGTCCCTTATGGTCTGTACAGTCTTCTTCCATGGTTGGATGACTTCAGAAATCATAGCAATAATTCCTTTGGGCTGACTTTCTTCTTCCTTCCCACTTTCTGAAAAAAGGACATACAAATAAATACATTTAGACATATAGAGGGTACCCCTTTTTAATTTTAGAGTTTCTCTGAGTAATGTCAGACTTTCAGAAATGAATGAACCACTTTTTCTGGACTGGGTCCAGAAATATATACATAAATAAAATGCAGGAGAAAAAAATCATGTTTTTTTTTAATCTATGGAATCTCATTCTTAGCTCAAGATGAGACATCCTCAGTACAGGAACTAAGGGGTGGAGATTAAAGGTGAATGTATTATTTTAGCACCTCATGGTTTCTGCAGCAAGTTGGGAATTGGAACAGATGTCGGTGTGTGTTAGGCTTGAATCCAGGAACTCCCATGATAGCTGGAGTGCACTGACATAGCCTCTTCTTTTTAACTTACCTTCTTCCCTGCCCCTAAACTTGCTACTATAAGAGTAGGGTGGCGTAGCATCATTGTGCCAAATCTAGGACACTGAGGGGGTTGTACTAGATGACCTCCTGAGGTCCCTTCCAACCCTGATATTCTATGATTCCCCCTATATCTGGGCTATACCCGATGGTTAGTTTCACACTTCTTGTGACTCATGAAGGAATTGGTTGAAATTCAAAATCAGGACTTCATTCAATTTCCTTCCCTGCCTGCTTCTCTTTTTCCCATTCCTCCCTTAAATCTTTCCCTTCATTCTCAACCATCCTAGTTTTCTGTCCCCACTGGTTCATCTTTGCATCTGGTTCATTTCTTCCCTCACCTTCCCCTTCAGCTCTCACTGCTCTTCTTTTCTCCCAGGTTTCTTTCCTCATCACTTCAATGGTATCAGCTCTTTTCCATGACTGCCTTTCCTGCTTACTCTCCCCTGTTTGTTCAGCCCATTCCCCTTCCTTGTCCTGTCTTTCTGACCTCATTCCCTCCCCATATACGGTTTTCCATCCCAAAGCTTCCCAAACTTTTCTCTCCTTCACATCCTCTCCTTTGCACTCCCATATTTCTCTTGTTCTCTCCCTGCACCTCTTTACCATTCTCCCTCAAATCCTTCAACTTATCCTCTGCTCTCAGCTATCCTGACATTTCCATCTGTGCTCCAAGATTTTTTTCCCCCATCCTCTGCACCCTAAACCCCCCTCCCAGGTTTCTGTCAATAAGTCATTATTCTCCCTTTCTTGCTGAAAGAATTCTTCAGCCCCAGAACAAATCTCTGTGCTGCTTCATCTGCACTGCAAGCCCCTGAAGAAGTTCTCTGCCTCCACAGCTGTCAGAACCTGTAGCACTTACATTGGGACCACAGAGGTTCCAGGCCGCTAACACTGCCACATCGCCACCATGTTGTGGCTGGGTTGCTGGTAGGGAATTTGGTGAAGCCAGACACTACAGGAAGTACTGCCCAGTAGGTTAGGAGTGGAGGCCACCTGCAGCCCAATGATTGGGCCATGCTGGATATAAATCAGGAAGCCATCACAGGGGTGTTAACTGCCTGCAAGTTTCTGTTCGAGACCTTGCCTTGCTGTGAATCCCGGAGTCGGGCTTCTGACCCCAGTTCATTCTTGACTCTGCTTTGATATGGGGAAAAAACTTCCCCTTTGTGTCTGTTGTTGTTCTCCAGGAAAGAGGGGAACAGGGAGCAGTTATGCTATGAGAAGCTGAAAGCCAGGTATGATCATAGATCATCAGATCATATCTAAAACTACTTATTTGGAACCCTGAAAAGTGTAAGTAGATCAGAAATGTTTAGAAAGATGCGATCAGGTTTATTTCTGTTTATTTCTTATGGCTAATGGAATCCTCTATGCTAACCCCAGATGATTTTTTTTTTGCTTTTAACCTTTAAGCTGAACCCCCAAGAAAGCTATTTTGGGTGCTTAGTTCCTAGAATTGCTTTTTTAAAGTCTTGCAAAAGCCTAAGTTCCAGATGTATTTTCTTTCTTTTTGTTTTTAATAAAAAAATTACCTTTTTTTAAGAACAGGATTGGGTTTTTGTGTCCTAAGAGGTTTGTGCATATGTTGTTTGATTAGCTGGTGGCAACAGCTGATTTTTTTTGTTTTCTTTCTCAGTTCTTCCCCGGGGGGAGGGGGCAAAATGGCTTGAGGATACCCCACAGGGAGGAATTCCCAAGTGCGCCTTTTTGGGTCCCAAGGGGTTTTTTTGCACTTGGATGGTGGCAGCATTTACCAACCAAGGTCAGAGAAAAGCTGTAACCTTGGGAGTTTAATACAAGCCTGGAGTGGCCAATATTAATTTTTAAAATCCTTGCGGGCCCCCAACTCCTGCACTGAAAGTGCCAGAGTGGGGAATCAGCCTTGACAGTAGGTATCAATGGTTCACTGTCAGACTAGGAGTTTATATCTAATGGGGTCCTGCGGGAGCCTGAGTCCAATACTATCAAAAGTTCCATAAATGACTTGGATAATGGAGTGAGGTGTATGTTTATAACATTTGCATATGACAACCTGGGACTGGTTGCAAACACTTTGCAGGAAAGGGTTAGGATTCAAAATAAGCTTGATAAATTAGAGAACGGCTCTGAAATCATCAAGATGAAATTTAATAAAGAAAAGTGCAAAGTACTTCATTTAGGAAGGAAAAATCAAATGCATAACTATAAAATGGGGAATAACTGGTAGGTGATGGTAATGCAGAAATGGATCCGAGGGTTAGAGTGGATCACAAATTGAAAATGAGTCAATATAGGATAGTTCAGTTGAGAAAAAAAGGCTAATATCATTTTGGAGTGTATTACAGGAGTGTTGTATGTAAGATGTGGGAGGTAATTTTCCCACTCTACTCGGCACTGGTGATGCCCTAGCTGCATACATTGTCAATTTCTGGGTACCACAGTCTAATAAAAATGTGGACATATTGGATTGAGTTTGTGGGGGAGGTCAACAAAATTAAAACATTTTTTTTAAATGTGACTATGAGGAAAGATTATAAAAACTCGGCACATTTCGTCTGGAGAAAAGAAGACCGAAGGGGGACCTGAGAACAATCTTCAAATATGTTTAAAGGGCTGGTGTAAAGAGGAGTGTGATGAATAGTTCTCCATGTCCACTGAAGGTAGGACAAGAAGCAATGGGCTTAATCTGCAGCAAGGGAGATTTAGGTTAGATATAAGGAAAAACTTTCAACCAATAACGGTTGTGAAGCTCTGAAATAGGCTTCCAAGGGAGGCAGTGGAATCACCATCATTGGAAGTTTTTAAGAACATCTGTCAGGGATTATCTAGGTTTACTCAGTCCCTCCCCAGTGCAGGGGTCTGGACTTGATGATCTCTCGAGGCCACTTCCAGCTCTACATTTCTATAAGTGTACCCTGTGCCTATGGCCCTTAGGGTATTCTCTGCACACCTACTCCAAACCTCCTCAGTCAAGTGTCTGCCAATTATTCAGTATTTCCCCTTATTTCCCAAATGAATTTGTCAGCCCCTGGAGAATTTGCTAACCTGATCAGTTTCCATTCAGGCCTCTGATTAACTTATCTGCCTCCACAAACCAGCTGTACAATTTCACTCCTACTTCATCTTCAGCCCACCACCTTCACTGACATCAGTTCATCCTAACACACACACATCCCGTCAATCCATTCTCCATCTCTACTCAATTAATATTCCACTCATTCACAGTGTATTCGTGTTCACTCATGTTCACCATTGCAACTACAAACCTCAATCCTGGGATCTGGCCTATGAATTCATAGAATATCAGGGTTGGAAGGGACCTCAGGAGATCATCTAGTCCAACCCCCTGCTCAAAGCAGGACCAATCCCTAATTAAATCATCCATTTCTGAGGTCTAGGGTGAAATATCTGGTCAAAACAGAATGTACCCAAACCCCTAACATCTAACAGTGCAGGGGTTAGGGTGCTCCACCATGGTGAGGAAAACCCAAATTTTAGCCCCTATTCTGCCTCATACAAAGCAAGGACTTGAATGTGGGTCACCCATTTACCAGGGAGATCTCCTCACCCTCAGGCTATGTGGTCAAGCTCCTTTCTTAGAGCTGCACCACTTTGTAAAAATAATTAAATATTTCTGTTTGGGGAGGGAGAAAGGTAATAGATTTTGCTTTTCTCCTCTTCCAGGCACAAGAGCAGGAATCCTTGTCACTTCAATTCACCTTTGCTGACTCCTTTCATATCTGCAACATCTCCATCCCCTTTCCCTAAGTAAAAGTTCCCACTCCTCACCAAAAGGATTTAGGGTTTGGATCATCTTCTTGCACAGCTGCATGGGCCGACTCCCAAGAGCCAAAATATTTTCAATAATTCCTTTGTGTTCACTGACTTCTGCTTTCTCATTATCTGAAAAAGGGATATGTTGAGATTAGATAAACAGATAGACATGAACAGCCTGGAAACTTTTTAGTCAGAAGGGGAATGTCAGGTGACTTTCCATTTAAACATCATTCTAATTGATGAAACACTGTAGCATGGAGGAAACTCAGAATTAGAAATAGATAAAAAATGTTTCTTTAGGTAAGGTTGCTTTAGACAGAAACATACTAGTCTGCTGTCTAAATTGCCATACACCAAGATGTACTGTCATCATTCAATAAGCAGGCCCAGCACATGTGCAAGTGGCCACTAGCTGGCTACCCGTACACCTCCCTCATCTTTTCTTCTCTTCTCTTCTGGCCATCTCACTCAGCTCACCAGTTGGTCTCCTCCATCTGCCAGCCCATAGAGGAAGGAAAGAGATCTACCTTCTCCAGAGAATTTGGTTTAACTCCAGAGACCCTGTAAGTGTGCATGCACTGGGGGAA